ATATATATATTAATATATATATAATTTTTCTTTTTAGTGCATAACTTATTAATAATTTTTTAACCGTTGATTTTAAGTTATTTAGTTCTCTGGAAACACGTTGTTTTAAAAGCATATTTGTCATCATAATAATCACGAAATTTTAGATAACTTTAAAAATGCTATAATGAGAACGTAGTCTGGCTATACTACCACGTTTAATTTGATTTTAAAGGTTTATCTGAAGTAACAAATAAAAAATTAATTCGCTATCTCAACGCTTGAGCACGCCCTCTAGCGGGAGCTTGAAAATATCGGGCATTAATTCTATTATAACCATTGGCAAAGACGAACGCCATTTCCTTAGCAGCGAATAAGAAATAAAATTTCCCTAAGTAAACGGCAGAAGAACTTGAAAAAAACTAACCAGAACACGCCAAACATGTGAAGAACAATTACTCAATAATTTTTACCTTTCTGTTACCAACAAGATAACTTCCGGTTTGATGATTGCTTGCTGTGACAAATGTGTGTATTGCGGAAAAAAAATTTCTGTCTTCAATTCAGTACAAATTAAAGTGAAGTCAACGTTACATTCGTCATTCCAATGAATAAATGCGAATTCAGAAAGTACAGAACTGTAGTAGTTATAGAACATTCTTTTTCTTTATAGAATAGTATATATTTCTGTATCTATATAATTCGGAAAACAACAAAAAGATACATCTGAATTACTTGAAAGAGTATCATTTGTGCTGATTATCAATAAATTTTTATCGTTTTCTTGGTAAGTATTTTTTAGTTTTGAATGAATAATTTCAACTAGAATTCAGCTATTCTGTTTTTAAACTACATATTAATATTCATATCGAGATCTTACAATTATAAAATTTTGCTGTCTGGTATGTTATCTTAAAGTAATGAAGGGATAATATATGTATATATTAATTGAAAATATAATTTTCAAACGAAGAACATTTCATTTGGAATTCTCCGGATTTATAAATCAGGTGATGTTATGATTTTTATAATAAAAAATTTGCTTGTAAATAATTTTTTTTTTATTCGATAATAATTCTCTACAGAATGGTTTTTTTTACTTCTGATTAAGAACTATGAGAATAAAAAAAAGAAACAATATGAAAGTTTTTTATTTCAATATGAGAAATTTTTAAAATCGTATTTTTATCCTAAGAATTCTTAATTTTACGTTTTTAAATTTGTAATTTTTTGATAAAAATTGCTGTCAAAATTCTTTTTTTTTTGAAAAATTAAATGGTATAACATTATGTGTTTATGTATACTTCTTGCATATTCTAACGTTTGAAGTAATATGATTCAGAAAAGTATGGAATAAAAATTCGGTACTTGCGTTTCAACGCCACCGCAGCTACAGATTTGGCAATTTTTAAGTGCCGCCAATCTACAACTAAAATTTTTGCGACAAATCATAAGTCGCAAGCTGTAAGCATTTCTTCATCAGCAGTGATCGGTCAAGGGGATTTTACGGTGATTTCTTACCCTATGGTGTTCGCAGTTTCGATTTGAATGTTTATCCTTCATGAATATTTCTTATATCCTCTGTTCAAGATAGATGGTATTTGCTCGTTTTCTGTCTCTAAAATTCATGTGACGTATCTATCTTTCGTACAAATTAACATGCACTTAAAATCTTGGCAGGCTGTGGTGTCAATATTTGTAGTGGTAGTCACCATTGATGGGATTTATTTAATAATCGACTATGTTAACCTTTATTTATGAAAAGGTGCTTCAAGAAAAATGTTGAGTCAACGTATGTTATATACTAAATATTTCGTATTTAATATCTGTAGTGGTAGTTACGTCACACGGCGAACCATTAATCAAATATGTTTTGTGTTATATTTCTTGATTTATAAATGGCAACTGTACTGTAGCTACTGTGACGCTAGATCAAGCGTGCATTTTTTATTTCTTTAATTTTTATGCATCAATTAATTAGCCAAAAAATGATGCAGATGTTTCTCTTTCTTTTATAGAAGAAACTAAATTAAACATTTATTGGAAAAGTGATCACATGCTCATGATGGCTCTGAGAGCAAGAAAATTCAAGGCAAAGAGAGCTTTAGGATGCTTGAAAAGCTTCCACAAGACAAAGATGGAGCGTCCCGATGTATTTCCGGAAAAACCGGATCTTGATAACATAAGAAAGATTTATGATTGCAATNTTTAGAAAACAAATCTTACGTTTTTTTTCTTAAATTCTGAATTCTATAAATTGAATTAGTATAAATTACGAAGATAAAAATAAAAACCAAGGCGACTTGTATAAAATTTTTCAAAATTAAACTATAAAAACTCTCTCTTCTATTCTATTTTATAACATAAAAAATTCCTTTATCAACAACAAAACTTCATGCTATTACTGATGTGTGTATTTCGGTAAAAGAATTTTTTTTGTCTTCAATTCATTACAAATTGAAGTGAAATAAACATTGCTTAGTTCATTCTCATAAATAAATGTGATTTCAGAATGTACGGAACTGTAATAATAATAGAATATTCTTCTTCTTTATAGAATAGTATATATTTCTGTATCTATATAATTCGAAAAACAACAAAAAGATACATCCGAATTACTTGAAAGAGTATCATTTGTGCTGATTATCAATAAATTTGTATCGTTTTCTTGGTAAGTATTTTTTAGTTTTGAATGAATACTTTCAACTAGAATTCAGCTATTCTGTTTTTAAACTACATATTAATATTCATATCGAAATCTTACAATTATAAAATTTTGCTGTGTGGTATGTTATCTTAAAGTAATGAAGGGATAATATATGTATATATTAATTGAAAATATAATTTTCAAACGAAGAACATTTCATTTGGAATTCTCCGGATTTATAAATCAGGTGAGTGTTATGATTTTTATAATAAAAAATTGGCTTGTAAATAATTTGTTTTTCTTATTCGATAATAATTCTCTACAGAATGGTTTTTTTACTTCTGATTAAGAACTATGAGAATAAAAAAAATGAAAGTTTTTTATTTCAATATGAGAAATTTTTAAAATCGTGTTTTTATCCTAAGAATTCTTAATTTTACGTTTTTTTTAAAGAAATTTTTGATAAAAATTGCTGTCAAAATACTTTTTTTTGAAAAATTAAATGGTAGAACATTATGTGTTTATGTATACTTCTTGCATATTCTAACGTTTGAAGTAATATGATTCAGAAAAGTATGGAATAAAAATTCGGTACTTGCGTTTCAACGCCACCGCAGCTACAGATTTGGCGATTTTTAAGTGCCGCCAATCTACAACTAAAATTTTTGCGACAAATCACAAGCCGCAAGCTGTAAGCATTTCTTCATCAGCAGTGATTTCTCACCCTATGGTCTTCGCAATTTCGATTTGAAAGTTTATCCTTCATGAATATTTCTTGTGAAAGCCCTTATATACCAAGACGGAAAAGAGAAAAACCTGGTATGTAAAACATTTCATTCCAGCATTTTTTTAGAAAAAAATGAAATATCTGTAACTATCAAGATTTCTTTTATAATTCTGGCATATATATAAAACTGCTTCTTTTCCAAGATAAAGTAGATATTGTTGAAAAATTTAAAAAAAGAATAAGAAAACTCCTCCCCAAAACTAGCTATAACTGAAATGGTATTACTACCAGCCTTTCCTCTTTTCCGTCTCGCTTTCACCCCTGTATCCTCTGCTCAAGATAGATGGTATTTGCTCGTTTTCTGTCTCTAAAATACATGTGACGTTTCTATCTTTCGTACAAATTACCATGCACTTAAAATTTTGGCAAGCTGTGGTGTTAATATTTGTAGTGGTAGTCACCATGGATGGGATATATTTAATTAATAGACTATGTCAAACTTCAATAATGAATAGGTACTACATGATTAAAGTCGAAGTAACGTGTTTTATATACTAAGCATTTGGTATTTAATATCTGTAGTGATAGTTACGTCACACGGCAAACCATTAATCAAATATGTTTTGTGTTATATTTCTTCATTTATAAATGGCAAAGGTACAGTAGCTACTGTGACGCTAAATCAAGCGTGCACTTTTTATTTCTTTAATTTTTATACATCAATTAATTAGCCAAAAAATGATGCAGATGTTTCTCTTTCTTTTATAGAAGAAACTAAATTAAACATTTATTGGAAAAGTGATCACATGCTCATGATGGCTCTGAGAGCAAGAAAATTCAAGGCAAAGAGAGCTTTAGGATGCTTGAAAAGCTTCCACAAGACAAAGATGGAGCGTCCCGATGTATTTCCGGAAAAACCGGATCTTGATAACATAAGAAAGATTTATGATTGCAATTTCGCCAGTAGTTTACCATATAGAGATGAAGAGGGATGCGTTATTATAATTATAAACATGGGTGACTTTTTTGCTTACTTTTCTTTGTCTTATTTGTATAGATTATAATATTTTTTAGAAGAACTTGTGGTGATTGTAGGGAAGGAATGAGACTTTACTTAAACACATTTGATGTTATTGACAAGGGAGACTAGGGAAGTGTGACTCGCTAATTTTGAAATAAATTTGTGGGATGTATGCCTTATGAGGAATAATTTTAGGGGGCAACATTCCTTTCGGCCCATAGAAGGTCCTATGAGAGATAAAAATAATTCAATATATAGAACAACCTTTTTTTATTACATTATTAGTTATTGTAATTATCTCATACTTCAATTAATTTGTTAATTAATTTTCTGATTAAATAATTAAGTATGAAATTATTAATGAATTATTAATTAGTTATTAATTTCGAATTAATTATTAATTAATTATGGAGTAATTATTAATTAATAATTAGTTCATAATTAATAACTAATTAATAATTAATTGTTATTCAATTATTAAATTATTAGTTTATTAATTAATAATTAATTATTAATTAATCGTTAATTAATTATTAAATTATTAGTTTATTAATTAATTAATTAATTTGAAATTACATACTCCAATTAATTGTGAAAATTTTTTGAAAAAAAAAATTAAGAAAAATTGATGAATATGAATATGGGCCGAAACGAATGTTGTCCCCTTAAATTATTCCTCATAAGGCATACGTCCCACTAGTTTATTTCGAAATTGGTGAGTCACAATTCCCTAATCTCCATTGTGAGTGTTTCGAAAGATCAACGATTTAGAAAATAATTAGGGTGGTTTGAAAGAGATAAAAATGCAAAAAAAAAAAAATAAANAAAAAGAAAAAAAAAAAAAAAAAAAAATGCTGTGTTCTACTCAGAAATTCATACAGATTCTTCTCACTAAGTTTCAAATTAATTACAAAGTTTGTCAACAGATGACCCGAATAACCGAAAAAAATCTAATAAAACAATGTTTTAAAACAAATCATTTCTGAAAAAAATGTGGCGTGAATTTGAAAATTGTCTGGTCAATATGAATTCTGCCTCCGGCTCGCAACGATCACAGTGTTGACGTAAAATATTCCCAGTAGTAAACGGATTACGGGTTAGAGTTCCCTTGCGTTCAGGCTAACCGTTGATGGTTTTCCTCTCCATGTAACGCGAATGCAGATTAGTTCCATCAAAAAGTCCTCCACGAAGGCATATTAATACTTAATCCAGGCGTCCCATCTTAGATGAGTTCAAAGTTACAAAACAAACTAGATGAACATTGCTAGTCTTAAATTTAATATTGGTAAGCTAGTCGTAAATTCAAAATCAACCCACCTCTCCTTATAATGCAAGTGAGGGTTAATTCAATCAAAATGTACTTCATGAAGACTAATTCCTCCTAATACTTGGAGTTACCTTGTCTTCTGGATTGGATTCAAAATTAGTAGTCGTAAACTCAAAATTAGGTCTGTTGTTCAACGACGGTTATAAAAGAGAATAAAACTGTTCCATCGAACTTTTACAATATGTTATGTTTTCAAGTGATTTTATAATTTATCTATCAATTACTGCACCGTAGTGCTTAAAAAATATTTAAATATTATCTCAAAATAAAAAAAAATATTTAAAATATTATGTTTTTACAATTACTGGTATGTTACCCTAAAAAGTCCCAGTTTTCGCTTTAAATCACCCGTAGTATCAATTGTTAAAGTCCTTAATTTCGAATTTGGTTTACGTATTTGAATTTGCGTATTTGATAGCTAAATTTTTATTTCAGAAAATGCCATTACAAAAAGTTAAAATAAATGAAGGAAAAAGAAGAAGAAAAAAATAGTAATTACTACAAATATGTTTTAGAGAATTATCAAGCTTAAAAAAATTAAATCTAAAATATTTTCAACAATAAAGTCGATGGGTAAAATATTTCATTGTCTGCGATAAATATGTTTCGAGTTATGTAAATATTTTGCTTAGTCAAGATAAATGCTAATTAAAAATATTCTACAACTATTATACATTTTTTCATGAAATTATTATTATACTGGACGCTAAGGACTAGCCCCAACAATCATTTTTGATTTAGTGTCTTATGCTAACAAATCACAAAATCCTCCCTCTTCATCGGTTAGTTTTTGAACAGCCTCAAATAGGTATTTAGTTTGATTTTGTAGAGAATGCAAGAGTTTAGACTTCGTAAATCTATGTATTTCTTTGAAGTCACAAGAAATTGTGCTGGCAACGAACTAATCTTTCGACGAGTTGTGCTACAGGACAAATTGAGCCAATGCCTCCTATAACTGAAAGCCTCCACACGGTCTTTTATAGGTAGTCCGATCAGACCACTGTGAAGGATATCCACTTACCGAACGGGTCACTTAATACAAAATCTAATTAAAATAAGAAGGTAGTAGCAAATATATGTTTAAAATTTTATTTAATTTATGAATATTATTGATTTGTCTTATTTACTTCTCAACCACTACAGATACAATTCTCAAATATATGTCAAAAAATTTCACTCAATTACTTTTAAAATAGAAATTGGGTTCATGCGCACAATTTTTAAAATAGTCTACGCACACTACTTGTAAAGTACCGCGTGGAGGCTTTTTGATGTAGAAGGTGATGATTGAGCTCGATAAGTTGCGCCTGCGGAGAATTGTATCCACGACGAATTGTGATTGCGACGAATTGTGTTCATGATGAATTGTGCTAGAGACGTATTGTACTCACGACGAACTGGGTGTGTGTCCCAAAGAATTGTGAGAGGAGAATTGTCCAATGACGAATTGACGCGACACCATTGGGTTGGAATAATATGGGGTTTTGAAT